GGGGGTTAACTTAACTATACTTCACTTTTGCTCGTTTGAAATAAACACTGAATAAATCAATGGATAAGATAACGAGCTAGAGCATTCCAACTTTTCCCCCAATATTCCGGTGTACCAGTATTTCATTTTACTAACGCGTGCAGGGTCTATTTAAACTTTTTGTAAGTTTTTTCTTTCTAATTCTTTTTTAACAGTAAGCTAATAAACGGATCCCACAGACAAAACTGTCAATTGTTGCAACTTTTCATTCTGTATAATCTAGTATTAATTATTAGGCATGCAGGTGTACACAGTTGTGTACTAAGGAACCAATGGTGTGTGTGTGTGTGTGTGTGTGTGTGTGTGTGTGTGTGTGTGTGAGAGAGAGAGTACTTTTTCTTCCATTGTGTCTTGGAGTCTCTTTCAAGGACGGCGTTCGTTTCAGCTGATCTACAATAAAGCCGTGATCAAACCTGTACCATAGATCTCTTCGGTTTACGCTAGCCATACTATGATACTTGCTCTACATCACACTATCGATAGTCCGTTCACTGCTCGAGTTCCATCTGCGCTCATAGTTAGGAATTTTAAATTTTATCTCTCTGATAATGTGCCCATTGAGACTACAGGGTCAAAGCTCGAAGATTTATGCCAATATCAAACGTCTTTTCACAAATGTGAGCTGCCCTTTGAACCATTTAAATGTCCGTACGTTCCTACAATAAGCAGATTATAGCTAATAAGCGGATTCCTTTTAAACGAGCAAATATATCTTTGAGGCTTATCTAAGAATCACCATGATAAGAGATATTGGTAAAATTGTCTTTGAGTACTTTAGAGACCATTCAGTGGACAAACAATATTTCTCCAAACATTGGTGTGGCTAGCGTCGACTTTACGGTTTACAAAAAAAATATTGCTGGTTCTGAAGTCTTTAACATTAAAATTTAGTCAAAATGTGTATCGCCCGAACCAACATTTTTCTTTACTAAATGTCTTTTATTCTTTCTGTATTTCTTGCAGACTTCGTGGAGAAGCCACGTAGAGCTCTTTGCCACCAAAACAATACGCTGTGTTCTAACAATGGGCCTGAACATGACATCTGGTTATTTGCTTTTGGCAGCAGCGGTCCTCCTGTCTTCCAATGCTCTACTTCTCAATGTAACGACGGACGAAGTGGAAATAGGGAAAACAAAAAACGTTTCCTTAGAATGCATCGATAATCATATCCAACCTTACATCTCTGAAGTCCTCATGATTAGAATTCTGAAAAAAGACCTCGTTGGGTGGAGTAGTTTTGCAGAACTTCGTGACAGAGATACAGAAGTAACGCCAAAACGTAAGGATGTACTCGCCACGGCCAACACGTCTTCCATTGCTACAAGTTTTCTTCGGCTCACGTGGCCTGTGGCGACTGACGATATCATTGGCCAATACAGATGTGATGTAATTAGTTTGACTTCCCGGGGGAGTGTCAGCTGGCAAAAAACCCTACCAACCTTGATCTCTCAGAAGAGTGACGTCACATTGATGATCCTAAACAAAATAGTGGAGGAGAACAAAAAGGATTACCTCCAGCAACTGCAATCTCTGAAGGAAACCATTTTGGAAAACGTAACCACCACTGCAGATGAAAACAAAAGACATTGTATGCAGCAAAAAGATGACATTCTACGAAATGTCACTGCGATCGTCGAGTCTCTTGGAGTGAGTTTTGAGGACCAGCTAAAGGTAAGAATCTCTCAGGTAGTATCGTTCCCCACTATTGACGAGTAGACAGTTGCGCAGAAATTGCTTTTTAAGAAATAGTAGATGAAACTGCCACTCACGGGAGCAAAGACCCCCCCCCTTTCCCCCCCCCCCCCCTAGCTTAAAACAATTAGAAAGTAGACAAAGAAACAACTTAACAAATCCCTACGGTAAATGTTTTCTCGTCAATATGTCGTATAATGGTAGCAACTGTTTTTGGGTCCCTTCTTAAAAAATCACGGTCTTATACAGTGCTGGTAAATGTTTTAATTTGCTCATCTCCCTTCCCTTTTGCTCTAAACTAAACAAAAACCAGCTTATAGCTATTAGGAAAGGGCTAGTCCTGATTTCAGTAAAGTCCTATAGGGATTGAAGAAGAGGAAAAAAGAAGAAGAAGAAGAAGAAGAAGAAGAAGAAGAAGAAGAAGAAGAAGAAGAACCAGAACCAGAACCAGAACCAGAACCAGAGCAAGAACAAAAATCAAGAAGAAGAACAAGATCAGCAACAACTACAAAAACAAATACAAAAAGAACAAGAACATAAACAAGAACAAAAACAAAACCAGAACAAGCACAAGATCGAAGAGGAAGAGGGAGGAGGAGGATGAGGAGACTGGGGATGAAAGGGAAGAAGAGGAAGCGGAGGAAGAGGAGTGTGAACAAAAGAAGGAACAAGGTTTCAGAAGGAGCAGAGGGAGAGGAGGAAGTAGAAGAAAAGGAGGAGGAGTACGAGGAGGAGGACGAGGAGAACAAGAATGAGGGTTAAAGGATGGGAGGAAGAAGGGGAGGAGAAAAGAATGAGATTAGAGGAAAAGGAGAAAGAAAAAGAGGAGAAAAGAAGTAAGGGGAAATAACCCATAGCACTGTTGTTGTTTTTTGTGTTATTTGTGGGGTGGGGGGGAGGGGGTGTTAGGTTTTTACTTTTACTAAAACTTTCATAAGCCTTTTGAGTGACGTCACTTTTGCAGGTTCTGAGCAAGACAGTAGACCAGAACAAGAGGGAGTGTCCACACCAAATGCTTTCCCAGAAACGCCAGATCCTGGAGAACGTGGAGGCGATCATGGAGCAGAGCAAACGAGAGTTTATCCAACAGGAAGAACGTATTCTTGGCAACGTCACGGCGACCGCTGAAAAGAACAAAGAAGACTTTGTACGACAGGAAGAACGCATTCTTAGCAACGTCTCGTCGATCGTCGAAAAGAACAAAGAAGAGCTTGTGAAACAGACAACAGAAATTCTTGCTAACGTCACAGCGATCGTCGAGGCCCTAGAAGCGGGTTTTGAGCGCAAGCTGAGTGATATGAAAAGTCAGCTACAACAGGTGAGAATATCATGTTGGTGCTATTGATCTATAAATATAAGGCTATCATAGCTTCGTATTTCCCGCCCAGTCTATGACCGAAAGCATTTTGAACATAAACCTGGACCTGAGACTATGCGACTGATTGATAAACTAGTTGACTGAACACATGTTGAACTAGCTCACTGACGCGCGGTGTTAACATGGTTAATTAACCGAATAAAGAATAAACAACATTCGAATCGACAGAATAAAAAAGAACCCAGACAAAAAGGCAGAGTGATAAAGTGGTATGTTTCTGAGTAAACTTGTTAATGACTAACCGATAAACTGGTCATTGAATGGGTTTTAAATGTCGATATTGGTAAATAACAATCATACCTTCACTAAGGCTTACCTTCACGTCCGACATCTTTTAGTAGCCGAAGCAACTTCACCTGGCTATTTCCGTTTCTGTTCACTGACTGCGTCACGAATCAGGCGATCGTCAATTTTCGGGCATATGGTGTCATGTGTAAAATCTTGAAACCTATTCTCATTTATTTATCTTGGATAGAAATCGAGAAATATGCAATTGAAGGAGGTGGGGTCGCTCGGTTTTACGTAAAATTAGCGAGAAAATGGCCTTGATCATTTGGTAGCTTCCACAGCTGTACTGTGCTTGGAAACGGCAAATTTACATTTTCTGTACCTTTGACTAACGTGTTTCAGTAAAACCCATAAATTAATGGGGGTGGGGGTTAAGGAAATAAAAGGTGCTGAGAAAAAAAGGAAAACAAAACAAAATAAAATAAATATCAAACGAACCCAAAAAAAAGCAGAAAAAAAGAAAGAAAAAAAAAAAAAGAAAAGAATATCAAGATTCGATAAAAATTGTTCACCGGACGGAAAAAATACCAGTTTCTTCGATTTCATTCTTATAACGAGCACCTCATATCACCATGATGCAACACTATTTCTGTCTCTGTTAACTTCTCTTCAGCCGCAATCTTGTGCTGATGTCACGGGCCTGGGTCATCGACCAGTTGTCTCTAACGGCATGGAGGTCGTCTGCGACACCATAACCGACAACGGTGGCTGGATTGTGATTCAGGTGAGATAATCATTATAGACCTAATAATTCAGTCTTATACAATACATGTAAGATCATCATTATTGAACTAATTCAGTTTTATACAACACAGGTTGAATCAACGCTATGTTAATAATTTCTTCCGATATAACACAGTTCAAATCAACATTATATAACTAAATTTGGCTGGTATGATACAGCTGAGATCATCATTGTAAACCTAATTCAGACTGATTCAATACGCTTTGAATCAACTTTAGGCAGTGGCGTCCAAAAGAAACTTGAAAATGCAATGACTAAATCACAGGGGTAAAGCCTTGCACTACCCACTCGTGCAGTATACCAATTTAAAGTTGCATAAATTCTGCATCATCAGACACAATACTGTAATATTCCATCTATGTTGAGAGTCGCCCGAGGTATGATCACCTACAATTGACTTTAAAAAATAGAATTCGAAATCGAAGAAACATAAAAGTGTGTTCGCGCTTGTAATGAAGGGCCTTAACAATGGTGGAATGAACATGTATTAAATTTCAAATGAATCGAGAATATTATTGTCTCTTTAAAGAAGTGCATCCTCTCATATTTTCAAACAGATTGGAAAACATAGCAGTTACAAATACATTGTACCATGCAAAAACCTGTCCTTAACATTTCATGTGCAAATTAGTATTTGTGTAAGTGCCATTGATTTCGTGTAGACCACGAAATCATTTTTATTGCACATGGACTGTGTTTGTTGGATTTTGAACGTAATCATCTGTCAGTGAGGAACAGAGGCCATGGGAGTGCCATGGTTTTCTGTTGTCTAGGGTGGAATGGACAAAACCAGCCTCGTGACTCGTGAGTATCGGATGGCTTGATTTGGTGGACTACATCACACTAGTGCTTGAACGTTATGTCTTACCCTTATTTTCGTCTTGGCTTCATTCAAGTAAACATCTCGATGCATGAAAAAGCACTTTCTCACAAGGCCAGTGCCACTAGACAATTTTTGGGAAAAGTATCAACGTTGGAGTGATCACCAGTAATAGCCACGTTATGAATCCTACATGTACCAGCTGCTGAAAAAGCGACTTTGCTCCCTATTCAGACTCTTTGATTACAACTCTCTTTGACATTTGGGATGAACTTACAGAAAATAATGTCCAAAATTTTAGAGAGTACGTGCCCAAAGGGTTCGTGCTCTACACATAACCAAAAACTCCTAAACAAAATAATAATGAGCACATATTAAGTTTCAAGTTTTGCGTGGTATTTGTGATTGATCTGTATTCCAATCTATTTTAAACTGTGGTAATAAAACATTGTTTATTGCAGAGACAGAATTATCCTTTCATTTGATATGAAATGTACAGGCTGATCCCCCCCCCAAAAAAAAACCCAAAAAAAAACACAACTTTTTCTGAATATCTCGCAAAAAAAAAATGGAATAGAATGTTGTAATTGGGAACAGATATAATTCATTCAGAACAAATTTGTTTGACATAAATTCATAAAGAAGAAACTTGTTTTCGAAAACCTAAATGGATTTTAAAAATAAGAACCCCATATACACGTAAAATGCGCCAATTTAAAATATCTTGTAATTTAAGGAGAGATGAAATGACTGGTTTGTTTTTTCCCTTTCTTTTCTTTTTACAATCTTATCTTTCCATTCCTGTAACGTTTAAACAGTAATATTATTCTTTTCTCTTACAGAGTTCTAGAAATTCTTTTTTTAAATTCTGAAATTCCGAGAACTAGTGCTCTATATGTCCTCCTGTAGACTCATCACATTTTAACGCGTCGTTCGTAGTGCTCAGTGGTGGCCAAACACAAAGATCCACCCAACCATGAGTACCCAAAGCTACACACACTGTACACCTTACAGTATGGAGCTGTTTCCAGAGACAGTAGGGTGGCTGGTGAGGTTGCCTAAACAGGCATTTGTGGAGTTAACATATCCTGAAATGTGAATAATAATATGGGCTTTGCCAGGGAATCAAACGTCAAAGAGGAATATTCATGCTTTTCAAGACCATAGAGGAATCATGTACATATTGCTATCTTGTGATTCATGTCAGCTTCGTGAAAAGGAAAATGGTACAGTCGTAGATGAAGATCTGCCTTGAAAATGCGGACCGTTGATAGGTAAGAAAGTCTTTGCTGCAGACATCCAGGGGCGGTTTGTTAACTGGGCAAGACCGGCGGTGCCTGTTAAATTTTTGTCAGCTCTACTGTTGACAAGAGATTTATTGCTGATAATGATTTTCATTCAGTTTTAAGTAAATCCGAATAAACATGTATCAACATTCAAAAAGCACCTTGCCGATTTGAAAGCGTTCAAATAGACAAGTGGGATTCATTGCTGTTTTGTTGCGACAGACCCTCATTCCTACACCTTTGTTTATCGCACCAGCTCGTAACTTTAAATCGTCTCCCGTCAAGCCGTCACGTCGCGGAACTTCGTACGAGGACAAACAAACGCGGCGGGTACAGCGATGAAACAATCCACTGGACAAATCCATCGACTGCCCTGAGACTACTGAGAGCGAATATAATATCATCCCTTGATTGCCAAATTGGCCTCCGTGTTGCATGCAAAATCAGTAATGAGACTGTCTTTAGTCTTGAGCAGCACAGACACATGAAATATTTTATCAGCTCAATACATGTACTTATCATCCAGCCTTTCTCTACTATCATCAGATCATTTATTGTCAGCATGGCACTAATTGTTTTTGTTTATTGAATTTTTAGCCACCTATAGTTCATGTTTGGTGACCAGTCATTGCTTTCTGCCCTCTAATAACGTACCTGGCCCATATGAGTCTAGCCGGCGAAAAGAGGAATCGTCTAGTGAAGACATATAAGGAGAATTATGACGAGGAGCGATAGGCTCTCTGCTGTCAGTCTGGGCCGAAAACAATGGGCCTACCCCCTCCTTTCCCTCCCCTTATCCACCGTCACCCCAGCTAGACACCAAGTTCTATAATTAGCATTTGACACACTTCCCCACTTTGTTACCACAATGTTCTGAAAACTGAGAAGTGTGATGAAGAACGTTTGATTACATAATGATGGAAAACTGTTGTGTGCTAACTTTGTCCAGCTTTGTGTAGTATCTGATTGTAGACTTAATCTGCATGGGACAACGTCATTGGTACAGTATCAATTGACTTTTTGCCATCATACAGTACTGTTCTTTTTATTACGAATTTACAGGTCGAGTGCACGTCGATATTGTGTGTGGGTGTGTACAAACTTAGTAGAAAGTAAAAGTCTTTGGTTAAAGTACCGGAGACCATGACCAGCAGTCCATTGCGCTTCTCACTTTCAGTTTGTTTTCTAGCATAGACTCGAGTAGTGTTTCTTTTTCTATGCCGTTCAAGTCAGTTTCTATTAACTCAGTAACTTCCATCATACATTAATCACAATATTGTTTCTTGACACTACAATAATTATTTCAGCTCTTTCACATTATATTAAAATGTTTACAGTGATGTGTGTGTGAATGGGGGAGGGGGTGGGGATGGTGAAAGTAGGGGTATAAAATGAGGAGAGAGAGAGAGAGAGAGAGAGAGAGAGAGAGAGAGAGAGAGAGAGAGAGAGAGAGGGAGAGAGAGAGAGAGAGAAAGAGAGAGAATGTGTTTGTGTGTGTGTGTGTGTGTGTGTGTGTGTGTGTGTGTGTGTGTGTGTGTGTGTGTGTGTGTGTGTGTGTGTGTGTGTGTGTGTGTGTATTGTGAAGGAAGGGGGTGGGGGAAGGAAGAGAGAGTCTATGTGAATGATGGCCGGTCAGTTCTATAAACCACGAGCCGCCACTGCAGACATCATCTACGGACAGACGTCTCATGGGGCTCATCTTCCGAATTCTGCACCCTTTAAAGGAGGTGCAAAGGTGTGTGTTTGATCTGAAGTAGTCGTTTTGTCTGGGAATTTTTCGTTCTGATTCTCTACAGGTCCTAACTGATGGACCATTCCCACCCTTGACATCAAAGAAGGTCATAAGGGCACCTTAACATTGTTAACGTATCTTGTGCAAAACTTACGAAATGAGCTGGAGGTGAGAAATGATAAATACAAAAAGCTCGTTACTAATCTTAACCATGATCTTAACAGGCAAAGGAAACTTGAGAAACTATCAGCAAACTTCTGTTTTCCTGTTAGTCTACTGTAGCTTGCAATGTGGCGCGATCGTTGGGACTTTTAATGGTAGACCTAATGCAAACTAGTGCTTTATGCTACAAAAATGGGGGCATAGCTGAAAATGAGTTGTTTTTTACGCTCTAAGTAGAGCAAAACTATTCTGTGGAATTATCTAAATGGGTGTCAGACAAATTTCCCTTGACTTTCAAATGTTGAGTACAAATTTGAAACGCAAGACTTCAGTGTTGAGGAGAATATTTACAAAAAAAGTTGTATTGTTGTTGTTTTTTTTAATCACCCTGTATATCCATTTTATCAGTAATGACGCCCTTCAATACAACACACTTTTACGTTTCTTTGATTCTGCATAATTTTGCCAAGTCTGGTTTTTTTAAGGTCAGTTTTCAGTGACCATATCTCAGGCGACTCTTAACCTAGATGAAATATTAAGGTGTCAGATTATGCAGAATTTATTTAAATAAATATGCTGCATGAGTGGGTAATGCAAGGCTCTAACACGATGATTGGGTGATTTTCAAGTTTCTATTGAACGCCACTGTATAGCAAATTAACAACTGCTGAAATACAGGTAAAATCAACATTATAATCTTGTCTGATATCGCGCCGGTGACATCAACATTATAAAAACTATTTCAAGTTGATGCAATTCAATTAAGGTCAAAATTATATAACTAATATAGGATGATACAATGCAGGTGAAATCAACATTATTTAACTAGTTCAGGTGGATACAGTAAAGGTGATATCAACATTATATCATGCTGATCCAAAACATGGGAAATGTATATCATTATACGCCGCTACATGCTGATACAAAAGACCGGAATACTCGATTTGTTCAGTGACTTTCCAAGCCGTTAATAATATGTGCAGTGCGAGGTGTTACCTTTGCAAGGACACATTATATCGTTGTTATTTCTAAAAGTTTTTGCGTTTGATGAATGCTTTAAAAACAAACAAATGTGTCATACCCTTAAGTACATAAGATACTCCCATGACACACTGGAATTTCCGTACGTTAGCTCCAAATTCACAACCCCATCAAACAAGTGAGAATCCAGACAAAATGTATAATTTAATCTAAGAAAGCACTTTGTAATCAATAACAGTTTAGGGTTATTTTAACAGTTTGAATGAACCACGGATTAACAAGGTTTTTTACGCAGTGTGATTTAACGTGATACTTCATTACGAAATGCCCCACTAACTGGCGTAAATTTCGTTTATGTTTACAGAGACGTGCTTCAGCGGACGTAGATTTTTTTCGTGGTTGGGCAGACTACAAGAACGGATTCGGCGACCGGACTGGCAATTTCTGGTTTGGGTTGGAGAAAATCCACCAGCTGACAAATCAGGTACTTTGCTTTTACTTCAAAACAATGCATGATCAAACTATACACCAGCGCTTTGCACCGTTGTTGTTGTCAATGTTGATGACCTTGTTGCTGTAGTTATCATCTATCGTGATATTAGGTGGGTTTATCCTCTTTGGTAATACCACACTTATTATTGATTATAGTATTATAAACAGTTACGTAGTCACAGAATACGTTTTTCGGGGATCACTATTTAGCTGACTCTGTCACATCACAGATGAACGTTAAATTATAGATATCTTGTCTTAAAACCTTGTTGTATCTGGAAGTTACTTAAACCCCATACGCTGTCTTAGAAAACGTAGAAGTGGTTGCTTAATGTGTTATTGGTAATATTGCTATGATTATCATCATTATTGTTACTACATTTATTGTTGTTGCTGTTGCTTTTCGTTTACATTTACATTTTCAATTCATTTCTCAATCTTTTGAGACAGAGGAGAGCATCCAGTGTTGCTGAATTTTAGTCTCTGTAAGTCACAGACTGCTGTTTGTATAGAGCCATACACATCTACCCGTTTTCTACATTTGATAGGGAATGGCTTCTTTGTGGTTTTCTGTTCCGCTTTATCTCCGTTTTTATTTTTCTTTGGGGTATTTTTTGCCAGATTGGCTACTACACTTACCGTAGGACTGTTCGATAGCCGAGCACATGTTACCATCAAGGACACCCGTCTGAAAAACGGCTGTTTTGTCTGTTTTGAAACTTTGTGTATGTGTGTGATTGGTGTTTTAATTTTACTCTCGTTCTAATCACCAGGGGAAATACGAGCTCAGGATAGACATGAAATACAAAGGGAAAGACTACCACGCCACCTATAACAACTTTTTACTTCACGGAGAATCTGAAAATTACAAACTTCAGATATCCGGATTTTCGGGTAATGTACAGGACAACATGAAGTATAACAATGGCGCACGTTTCTCAACCAAAGACCGTGATTCAAACAATTGCGCCAAAAATGACCTCGGAGCTTAGTGGTACAAAAATTGCACTTGGGTGAACCTCAACGGAGCATGGGGAAGCACAGAGAACGAGAAGGGCTTGATCTGGGAAAGCGTAACGGGACATTCAAAGTCGGTCACCTTTAGCGAAATGAAGATTCGACCAGTTGCCAAGTGATAACTTCCGAACTCCTGCCACTCCATCTCTTCCTTTTGTAATGCAAGCGTATGTTTTGCTTGTGTGTTTGTATTTGTGCTTGGACTTTTGCTTTGTTATATTCGTTTTTCATACGACTTTTACTGGTTTTGTTTCGCTTTGTTTTATTTTGTTTTGTTTGAGGGAAAAGGAAACTCACCGATAGTAGAACGTCAGAAAGTTTAGATTTAGAATACTTTATTTGTTTCACACAAGTTAAGGAACAATACAAAAGCGAGACGATCATACTGAAACATATAATGTGTAACCCCACCCCCCCCCCCCTTTCCTGGATCCTATACTTTTTATAATATATTCCAAATTTCTATTTCTTGTCCTATCACACACAGTCACACTCGTAAACTTTCACAAACATTGTACTGGTACCTTATTGCACACACACACACACATACACACACACACACACACACACACACACACACACACACACACACACGCATACACACACACACACGTACACACACACACACACACACACACACGCACACACACACACACACACACACACATACAAGCGCGCGCGCACATACACTAACACACGCACAAGCGCGCACTCACACTCACCGACACACAGACACACACACACACACACACACACACACACACACACACACACACACACACACACACACACACACACACACACACACACACACACATTGCCGACGTCTGTGGTTTTGCAGTTAGGCGCTTCGACGTCACACGCAGAGGATATTGTTGTTGTTGTTTTTTTTGGGTTTTTTTCTTTATCGAATTTCTCCATCTGTGCTGGGATGCCGTGTTCCCCTCAGCCCTAATAGCCTTGCAGAAGTAATCAAAGCGGCCCACCTTCTTAATGATCTAAAGTAGTTCGAAAGGGGCATAAAGCATTCACAATATACATTCTTGTATAATATACAGAAAAACGTACCTGCCTACACAAGTATTTACTTGCAATTATGCTATTGCACGAAAAAGCACGTAATATACATACCAGTACATACTCTCACACATAGACCCATACATACATGTAATTATATTTCACCTGTAGCATTCACATATAATGTTTCCCCCTTTTACATTGCCACATTGTACAGCTTCAAGTGCAATGAAAGACGGGGACACTTTTTCTCTATGATTAAAGTTACGCACTTTGGCATCAGGCATTAAAGATTTTGTTTTGATCACAGAAGCAGATAAAACCTCAAGCTTTACTTTCGATATAAAACGTATATAACGTAAAAATGAAAGTAATCAGTATGATGATATTTACAGTCTGAACGTCTCGGGGTTCCCAGCTACACGTCTGTACCTCACGATATCAATACTTGTAGTTAGTGTTCGGATGTGAAACTCACCTGCAAATGTGCAAATGGTTTGTTAATAAAAATGTAATTCATTGTTGTGTAATATGTATTATAGTATTCTGTCCGTTGGCTCATCTAGGCTTGAACTGATTTATGTTTGGAGGTATAATTTCTTAACTTTACATGTGTACAAAAAGAGATGCATGAGAAAAAACTACAATAAACTTCAGTATGTTGCATGTAAGATATTCTTTAGTTTTTGGGTGCTTCTTTTTAAATTTGTAAATATGTTGCTCCGTAGAGTTTGGTATTGTTGTTTTATTCACGGCATACACTTGCTCCCATGTGTATTCCTTAAACGCTCGAACGTGCAAATAGTTTGTTAATAAATTCTTGGTATTTTTGTTCTTATGTAATATGTGTTTGATTCTATACAACTTTGTATCATATAGGCATGAACTGATTTGTGTGTGGAAGTATAGTTTCTCAACTTTACATTATACAGGAAGAGGTCAGTGAGCAAAACCTATAATAAACATGAGCATGTCACCTGAAGGGTGTTCTTTAGTTCTTTTTTTTGTGTTTTTTTTTTAATTTCTAAAAAAAAATGTTCTGTGTGTGACGACGAGCAGTTTGTTATTGTGTCGTTTTGTTCAAGGAACACACTTGCTCCCTAGTGTTCGATTTAGATCTTTATGAAACACTCGAGATTAGTCCACAGTGAGTTGCTTCTGTTCTCACGGACAGTCTTCAACCACTGACTACTATAGGCACGTTGTACGATAATCTCCGGTTCCAAGTTGCCGTCTTGCTTTCGAAATTTCAATTACGAGTACAAGAAAGCAGAGATCCCATCATCTTGAAACATTACTGTGGTAGATTAGAGAAAGAGAAGGCAAACGCAGAAATATTTATGCTGAGATTTTCATCTGCAATTCTGCACTTTCCTTTTATTTTCTCAAATAGGGTTTAAAATGTTATCCCCATTTGATTCTGGCAATGTCGAAACACAATTAATTCTAACGGGATGTGCTTCATCCACTAAATCTCGTGATTAACTATTTTTTCATGTGTGTTTGTGTGTGTTTGTGTGTGTACGTATGTGTTTGTGTGTGTGTGTGCGTGTGTGTTTATGTGTGTGTGTGTGTGTGTGTTTGTGTGTGTGTGTGTGTGTGTGTGTGTGTGTGTGTGCATAATATCATATTATTATGGATATACTGTCTGTAACAGCAGAGAGCGTAACCAGTGAATCTACACAGCAGTTGCATAAATTATTCGAGCCAGAGTTAACAAGCAGGCAAGGGGCGAGGAAAGAATCAATGACCTGTGTCCTTGGTCAAGGCCTGGGGAGTCTGGGAGCGTTTCCCCGTGGACTGCTCGTTCTCCTGGAGGAAGAGCTGGCACTGTCCCGCTGACCATAGGCTGACCGCGGGCTGACCACAGCATTTGCCACCTGGTCCTGGTTCCAGTGCTCTGGCTTACTCTGGCCCACCTGGCTCACAGCCCTGCAGGAGATGCTGGGTGATTGGTTGTTTGTTGGTTTCTCTCTCTCTCTCTCTCTCTCTCTCTCTCTCTCTCTCTCTCTCTCTCTCTCTCTCTCTCTCTCTCTCTCTCTCTCTGTCTCTCTCTCTCTCTCTCTCTCTCTCTCTCTCTCTCTCTCTCTCTCTCTCTCTCTCTCTCTCTCTCTCTCTCTCTCTCTCTCTCTCTCTCTTAGGGGAGGGGGGGGGGGGATTTAGCGTTACAACTAAGAACTACACGAAACTGCAAAACACGCTTTTGCTCGTCTGTCCCATTAAAATGTTGTTCACATGTAAATATTGTGTGTGTTCAAACTGGACAAGGGTGATAAATATATCTATGACGGGATCCGCCATATCAAGCCACCCCACAATCTTACTCCCAACTGAAAATGTTTTAACGCTCAAGCAAAAACAATATAAATGTCACGAAAGCTTGTTCGTTTCAACCCTCTTTCTCGCTCGCTCTCTCTCTCTCTCTCTCTTTCTCTTTCTCCACTCTTATGCAGTAGAAGGGGTAAAATAAAGAGGTTCCTGTAGATAGGCCTGTTTAAATTAAATGGTGTTTCAACTTTTTCTTGAATATATTCAAAGACCTGGCTTCTCTGATGTTTTGGGATAATTGGTTCAAGGCTTGAGCCCGGTTTAAAAAAAAGGAGCATCAGCCATATAATAATCATAACTAACGTGTAGTTGGTTTAATTAATGAAACTTTTTGTTGTTGTCTAAAGCTGATCTTAGTTGTGGAGTGTATGAACTGCACTGAATACCCATGTTTCTCGGGACTTTATTTAGTTTAAAATAAGTTGAACATTATAATAAGATAAAAGTATTCTTTAGCCCTTCTTTCGGAACTCACTTCACCTACTACCATAAGCTTGTATCGTAATGTCTAAGACAGAGCACTCCTGGCACAATTTGGGTCAAAATGGAGCGCACCAATTGACTCTATTTGAAACCAAATGAAGGGCTAAGAAGAGGGAACAGTTGCGGGAGCATTGGACTATTACAGCAAGACTTGGTGTTTTGCCTTTCATTTGTGGTGCACACCAGAACAGCGAAGTTTGTTGGTTTTTTGTGGGTCTTTTTTAATTTTGAGAGAGAGAGGGGGGGGAGAGAGAGAGAGAGAGAGAGAGAGAGAGGGAGAGAGAGGGAGAGAGAGAGAGAAATAAAGAGAGAGAGCGAGAGAGCGAGCAAAGAGTAGCGGCGCATGACAGTGCCTAGTCTAGATTATAATTGGTCGCTTTTCTAGCACAAGGGAGTTATCCCGAAAAGTGCTGTTTCGAGAAAATCACAAGTTAACTTCTTGGACCCTTGTTCAGTTTCTTTAAGAGACGAGGATAGTTTTCTCAATGACCTAACAATATATACACCAATGAAACTAAACTTCTCCTATAGGTAGGGAAATGCCCACTTTTGGTGTAATTCAAGATTTCAGGAACCCCCAAAATCTGGGTTAGCCCGCTTGTCCTTAAAAGCGACCAATTGAAGTCTGTGCCTACTATGCACATCCGACGTTTCCACAACTTTCCGGGCTATAATTTTCTGTGTTGCCATGTCCTCATGCACGAGAGATGTTTATTAAACTTATTTCAGAATTTAGGGCTGAATTTGACTTTTGCCAATTGGAACACTCGTGGTCGTTATAATGGGGAGTTTGATTGATTGTTTTACACACTGAGAACGTGCTGTTTTGAGATATTTTGAAAAATACAGTACTTCCTTATTCCAGAAAATTTTTCAGTTCTGTTTTTATAAAATCTGAAACTTTAAAAGGGAAGGACAGGCAGCAGCATGAAAGTTATGAAATATGCACATTCATATTTCTAATGTGTGTATAAAGGTTTGGAATGTGCCGCAACGTAGCCTTTGGTCTGCCTCTGATCGGACACATTACGTGTCCACTGCGTCTGTCTTCAAAGAGTTAACAACGGTGAAAAAAGGCAGAAGAAACAAACGTCCCAATGAGAAAGACGTAGGGCCTGTTCGTGACACCCCCCCCCCCACCACAAAT